TGCACCATCCCAGCACACTTTCTTCAGTTTTTTTTTCTACCTAATTTTCTATCAATTTTGTTGATTTCTTGAAGCTATGGAACGGCTCCTGTGAATCTCAACATCAAAACAGGAGGTCGAGTTTATGGATCTTCTGGTAAAAAAAGTTTACACATTTATATTAATAGAAAATGTAATAAATGCAGTAGTCTGTAGTAGTAGTACATGCTCTGTATTTAGTAATATAATTCTTGCATAAAGATTCTGCAGTAGTGTGGTAGTGAATTAGGCAATTATAAAGCCTTTAATATTTTATTTAAAAGTTGGATAGACATGTAGCAGGGATGATCTAGACAGTTCTTGGTCCTACTGTGAGGGCAGGGGACTGCACTCAACCTCTCAAAGTGCCTTGCAGTTCTATGATTCTATAATTAGCTTATAGTGCAGAGGTCTGCCCCATTAGGAAGGTGCAAAGGAACAGTTAGGGGGTATGCCCCCTTAGGAAGGTGCAAAGGAACAGTTAGGGGGTATGGCATAGGAATGTTAAATTGAGCTTAGTCACCTAATAGTCGATGGAATTTGTGTTGTATATTCAATTAGTCGATAAGGGTGCTTCTGCCTTTGAAATGTAGCAAAAACCCGTTGGCTCTTGCTATGTTTTAAAGGTAGAAGCACTTTGGGGAACATGGGACCAGCGGGGGACTCAAGCAGTCCTCTGCTGGCCCCATGCTCCCTGCTTTTGAAATTTACAAGAGCCCCAGGGGACTCTTGTACATTTCAAAGGCAAAGCATGGGACAAGTTGAGGACCCAAGCTGGCTCTCCCCAGCACTGGTTCCTGCTCCCTCCCCTGCTGCTTCCCTCTGATAGAGGCAATGTGGGGCAGGAAGCAACTAGTTGAGTGTACAAAAAATTATTTGCAGACCACTTAGTTGCTATTATTTCTCTATAGGAAAGGTGGAAGGGTAAAATGCATTTAAAGTAGCAAAGAAAATTATTTCATTTAGATTACAAGCTCTTTGGAGCAGGGATGTTTTCTTCATACTTGTCTGTAAAAAAGTCTAGAACTTTAATGCTGTATAAGTTTCAATAAAATTTTCATTTTAGAAAAGTTACATGAAAAGTGTTTCATATATTAAAATTCCTTTTACAGTGATAAGTTATTATTATTATTATTATTATTATTATTTTTTTTTTATAGGGGGAAAAATCAAAGGAGTGGATCTTGATGCACCAGGAAGTATTAATGGTGTTCCACTGCTTGAAGTAGATTTAGATTCTTTTGAGGATAAACCTTGGCGAAAACCAGGTAGTATATCCGTATGATATCTTACTGCATAATAATGTACACATGAGTTTAAATACAGGTATTTAATAAACTATTTCGGATAGTTTTCACCAATAGCAGATTAGTTTATTGGTAACAACCTACAACTGGAAGTAATATTCACAAATATTTAATTGTACTATTAATGAGCTGAATCATCCAGTCTTACTTGAAAAACCTGTAAAGGGACACAAATTATTCTGAGAATGTATTAAATTACATAGAGTTTCTAGGGCATCCACTGCGAACACCTGCCAGCAAGTAGGGGAGCGGGGAAGGGGGCATAGCATATGCCCAGCTAAATTCATGGATATCCTGGGAGATCCATTATTGGCAAATCCAGATTCTTTGGGGTTGTTGACATTGGCTCCATGCACTATAGGAGATAAAGCAGAAAGTAGTGATACAGGTTGGACTTCCTTGATCCGGCACCCTCAAGATTTAACTGGTCTCAAACGAGCAAGTTTTCTAGAGCAGAGGAGGTCAGTTCTGGCTCCACTGCAGACTCCCTGGCTGCATCCTTCTCCCCATCACCAGGCCTTGGTTGCTGGACCCCTCAGATGAGCCCCACTGCCATCAGTCCCGCTTGGGCTGCTGGCCCCACCTGAGACTGGCCCCAGCCAGACTCCAGGCCATTGGCCCTGCTCAAGCTGTCCGCCCCGGCTGGGCTCAGGCTGCTAGCTCCACTGCTGCTGGCTGTAGCCATGCTGGTGGCCCTGCTGCTGTCAGCCCCAGCCAGACTGCTGACCTCAGGCCTTGCATTGGTCAGCCAACTCCCTCCTGCTTGCCCTACTGCCGCCCGACTCCCTGGCCATGGGGGCTCTTTGGTACAGGAACGTCCTTCTGGATCATGGATATTGCTGGACCAGAGAGTCCCGATTTAGAGAGATTCATCCTGTACTAACAGAAAAAAAAATCTACATAGAATGGTTGCCCCATGGCTCTGGCCACTCTCCGATGTATTATATTCATAGAAGGGGTACCCACAGAATTTGAGGAAAAAGCTGACAGGATCAGGGATGCTGAAACATATATTCATGCATGTATTCATTATGTTCTGCTTCCCTGTCTAAATTTCACAGACGTATGGTAGAGCCAGATTTGACAAGTATTTTGCATTCTTTTTATCTCTCTCAACTAGGGATGTAAGCGACTAGTCAACTATCCAATAAGCAAAAGCTGCCGTCTCTTAATACGTTTAAAAGGCAGAGCCGCAGCGGGGTTAGCTCCTGGGGCTACCCCACTTATCGACTAGTTGATGGAAAATCCGTCAACTAATTGATTAAACTAAATTTAACAACCCTACTTTGAACTTCTCATTAGTGTTTTGTAAATTGCATTGAAGAAGGAAACAATGTCTTTATAAAGATGTAAGAAGCATATTGCTTTGATTATTTCAAAACTGATCTCAGCACAATTTAAATGTGTATATATAGCATGTCCTGAATAGACATCAAATACATTGAACCATAGAACGTTGCATATTATTCGTTGTCAGATAGTTGTAATTCTTAACATCAAGATTTTTCCCTGATTTCTGATGCTTTCTGTTGCTATAAACAAAGCAGAAGTAGAAAAGGAAAGTTTAGTTATAATTCTTAATTCTTAAGAGATTTTGCTTTTCTGTTTGAAGGTGCTGATCTTTCAGATTATTTCAATTATGGGTTTAATGAAGATACCTGGAAAGCTTACTGTGAAAAACAAAAGAGGATACGAATGGGACTTGAAATGTTACCAGTTACCTCAACTACAAATAAAATTACGGTAATAATAACGTTTTTGTGATATTCCATAATATGTAAACACTTTTTTTCCCCCACATAAAATTGATATAGTGCTGTGTTTGTTTTTGTGTTAGAAATCTCTTCTGTCTGGTATAATATCATTGTTAGTATGTTCATACCTTACCTTTCCCTTCTTGTCTCCCAGAATCTTCTCCATTGTTTCATTGACTATTTGTGCGGATAGTGGCACCGCTAGGTTGTAACTGTGTGTTAGTCACGTTGTAGCCCATTGATTCAAAGTTGTGTGGTATCTTAATGGGCAATGTGTTATTTAACTTAGGCCGAAGACAATTCTATGGAAGTTACACCAGGGGCAGAGATTCAAGATGGCAGATACAATCTTTTTAAGGTGAATTTTAGTAAACTTTCCTTGGTTGCTCTCATTTTTGTTGAGTATTGCTTCCCATATCACTCCGAAGTGATAGAGGCAAGATTGAAGTGGACATAGCTATTTTTCCTAGCTCTCATCTTACATCAGTGACTTTCTGTGTATCTCACATACTTGCTGAATTAAAAAAATATTTTTTGACATCACTGCTGCAAGCATGTGAGTTAATGGCCTAGTGCACTAACAACTGCTGAGTGAAACTATACTTGCTTTATGTGGTGGTTTTATTTTTTTTATTTTTTTTTAGTTTATAGTGCATTTGTTTGTTCAGGTTAAAGAATTGCTGGAGAGGCTTTGCAGATTATAGCATGATATTTTACTCCACAGCTTTGTGGTTACTTGACTTTTTGTACCCTTCATCTCTGATGAGTCTGAGATATGAAGATGTCTTTTTTTTTAAGTTCTTCTGTTGTCTAATGTGCGTTTACAGGTACTCTGCTTTACAAATCTGATATTTGTCTACATGAGGACAAAGTGCCATAAGAAAATAGCAATACTTGAACAGAAAAACAACCTAGCTACCTTTTTTTATCTTCAGTAGACTAAAGTATTGATAGCAATTTTCTCTTTTCTAAACGTTACTCTTTAATCTTTTAAGTTGTTAAAACTGCTTTTAATATAAGCCTGTAAATTCAGTTGCAATATTGAAGTCATTTTATTTTGTTTGTTCAGTTATAATTTATGGTATTTCATTCTTGAACTTCATAAAACCAGTTCATAACACATGATTGCTGTTCCTCTAATCCATAATGCAGAAACAGCAATTAGAGCCAGTTTTGGTTTTTTTGGTGCCATTTTTTCCTCATGCCTACATTGCTGTCCACTAGTTTTCTTCTCTGTTTCAGTGAAGGCATCCTTTACAGTAGCTTCTGTAGCTTTTCTTTCCTCAATGTTCGTCATAGTAGAGTTCAGGAAATGCAAGGAGTGTGGTCTGCCATTGCAGCTAACCATTACAAGGTCAAACTCTCTTCTGGACCTTCTACTTGCTCTAATAAAGTGTTAAGTGTTAGTGATCTGACTTGGAGAATGTCTCACCTGAGTCTGGGGATTGAGGTTTGAAGCTGTAATGGGAAGACAGTCTGGGGGCAAGAGCTAGTGATCTGTCACTATTTAGGTAAGTATTTAATTGTCTGAATATTATAGGTTGTTTGCATATGTGTCTTGCAGTTTATGTGCCCTTTCTGGGAATAGTGAGAGTATTTATTTCTAGGATATGTACCTGTTTTCTATAGATGTCTGAAGAAAGACACATTTTCATTGAAGAATATAACTTCTGTCTGTGTTAGAACAAGTTCTGTCATTTAATATTAATCTTGTTAATTTACCCATAATGAAACCATGAATGAATTACTTAAGAAAAATAGCTTTTATTTGAATATAAATTGGTCATAACTACTCCATGAATCATATTTGAGCTATGATTACAATTAGAATGTGACAAAATATAATTTTGTAAATGTATGGTTTTAGTTACTGAAATACTTTTCAAATGATAAGCCAGAGAAAGCTCTAAAACAGTGGTTCCCAACCCATTGTAATTGACTGGTCAATCCTGAAGACTCTCCCAGTCGATGTCAGTCTCTGGCAGGAAGTCAGGCTTGCTGATATGCAGAGCTCCACAGCCAGCACCTGTGTTCAGGTGCCTTTCCCCCATGTTCTTAGAATCATACAGTTGGAAGAGACCTCAGGAGGTCATAGAGTCCAGCCCCTTGCTAAAAGCAGGCCAACCTGAGCTAAATCATCCCAGCCAGGACTTTGTCAAGCTGGGACTTAAAAAAACCTCTAGGGATGGAGATTTCATCACCTCCCTAGGTAACCCATTCCAGTGCTTCACTACCCTCCTAGTGAAATAGTTTTTCCTAATATCCAATCTAGACCTCTCCTACTGTAACTTGAGACCATTACTCTTCGTACTGTTACCTGTCACCACCGAGAACAGCCTCTCCATCCTCTTTGGAATCCCACTTCAGGTAGTTCAAGGCTGCTATCAAATCCCCCCTCACTTTCTTCTTATGTAGACTAAATGAGCCCAAATCCCTCAGCCTCACCTCATACGTCATATGCTCCAATCCCCTAAACATTTTTGTTACTCTCCGCTGGACTTTTTCCAATGCGCCCAACAGTGTTTGCTCTTAAGATTTTTCCATCCGTGAGCGGAGTGATTCTTGTCTTGTGCACCAATATTGAGGTCGTGTGTGCTTGTTCAGATATGTGCCACCATGGCAGCCAAGTTAATAACAGATATCTTTATAAATACCTTATAAACCTTTCCCTTTTCCCCTCACCCCACCTACTGCTCTGGTGCCTGCTGCTGCCCCCACCCCTCCCCATCCTCTGTTGTCCGGGTTTCTGCCCATGGGTAATGTAGGCAAGGGAAGGCACAGCCTTCCCAAAACTTCCTGCACGCCCGACTGCTGAAAAGATTGGGGCGGAGGCGCAGCAGCCTGGCTCCATCAGGCTACTGCGGAAGGCAGCTCAGCTCAGCAGCCTGGCCGCCAGGGAGGAATGAGCCTCGGCCTGGCAGCCCGGTTCTGCCTGGCTGCAGGGGAAGGATAGAGCCACTGCACGTCATCCCAGCTTTCCCTAGCCATGAGGGAGGGATAGGGCTGCTGTGCAGCAGCCCAACTTTCCCTGGCCGCCTGGGAAGGAATAGAGCCGCCCGGCTTTCCCCGGATACCGAGGAAGGATAGAGCCACTACGCAACAGTCCAGCTTTCTCCAGCCGCCAGGGAGGGCCATGCCGGGGCCGCAGCATGGTCGCCCCGGCTCTCCATGTGGACCAGAAGGATAGGGCTGGGAGTGGGCGTGGCTTCAGGCAGAAGGGGCGGGGCTGGGGCTTGCCTTCTCCCAGCTGGCCTTTCAACTGATATCCATGCTTCTGCCCTTCTCACTCCTCTGAGCCGCTCCCTACCTTGTCTGCTAACGCCTCCCTCTACTCTCCTGCCCTGCCTCCTCTGCCCTCTGGTGCCCGTCCCTCCCCTCCTCATGTCTGCCCTTCTGCTTCACCCTCGCAATACCCCTGGCATCTGCATTTTCCCTTGCCTCCTGTACCCTCTTGGTGCCTCCCCCTTCCTTCACTACTTCTGCCCTCCCAACACCTGCCCCCCTCCCTTCCTTTCTTCCTTCCTGGTACCCATCCTCTGCTTAGTTCTCCTCACACCTCTCTGCAACCTCACATGTGACTTGCTCCATCCCCTGCCTTCTTCATTCACACTCCTTCTTTCAACCTCCTTTTCCTGGCACCCGCTTCACGACACCTCTTACTTCCTCTTGCCCCCATTTTCCCTCCCCTATTTTCTTCCAGCATCACCCTGTCCCCTCCCTACTTCCACCCCCACAGACACCTTCCCATCCTCTTCTCCCCTTCTGTCCTTTTCCCTCATTGTCTCCTCTTGGACCCCTGGCATTTGTGTCTCCTCCATCCTGCCCCGGGAGCATCTGGGGCCATATCGTGGCTGGGGCAAGGACCATGGTACTTAAAATAGCACCAGGGCCCTTGCTCCAGTCCCAGCATATGGAGGCGTGGCCACATGACAGGCAGCTACCCCATGTCCTGGGACTGGAGTTGTTGCTGCGGTGCTAGTTTTAGTACCAAGGCCCAGGTTCCATCTCCAGCAGCTCCAGCCCACGGACTACCCTGGCCGCAGCTCCAGCCCTGGGGAAGGGCTGAAGCTAGTGCCATGTCTGCATGGTGGCTGCATGGTGGCTCCACAGCTGCTCCTGGGGCGGGGCAGCCACCCGCCACGCAGCGTCTCCCTGGAACAGCTGAGGTGGGTGGGTGGCAAATTCTTGGTGCACATCCCCACAAGTGTGTACTTTAAAGGAAACTATGGTGTCCAACACCTTTCTGTAATGGGAGCCCCAGAGTTTGATGCAGTACTCCAGATGTGGCTTCACCAGGGCTGAATAAAGGGCAATAATCACTTTCCTAGATGTGCTGGCAATGCTCTTACTAATGCACCCCAATATTCTGTTAGCCTTTTTAGCTACAATGACACGCTGTTGACTCATATCCAGCTTCTCATTCACTGTAATCCCCAGGTCCTTTTCTGTCAAACTGCTTCTAACCAGTCAGTTCCCAGCCTTTAGCAATGCTTGGGATTCTTCCTGTCCCAAGTGCAGGACTCTGCACTTGTCCTTGTTGAACCTCGTCAGATTTTTTTTTGGCTCAATCCTCCAGTTTGTCTAGGTCACTCTGGACCCTGTCCCTACCTTCCAACGGAGGTCCCTCCTCTTCCCCTATCTTAATGTCATCTGCAAGCTTGCTGAGGATACAATCCATCACCTCGTCCGGGTCATTCATTAATAAAGATGTTGAACAAAAATGGCTGCAGAGCTGACCCTTGGGGTAGTCCACTTAATGCCAGTTGCCACCCAGACATCAAGCCATTGATCACTGTTCATTGAGCCCCAAGATCTAGCCAGCTTTCTGTCCACCTTACAGTCCATTTATTCAATCCATACTTCTCCCTCTTGCAGCTGCTCCTGGGCAGGTGGCTGTGCACAACAGGGAGGGAGCACTGATGTTGGGGTTTCTCCCTGCCCCTGTAACTCATCTCCATAAGAGGGAGGACAGCCTGACTGCTTCAGTGCACTTCCGAAGTGTATGAGATCCTCTAAGAAATGCAGACAGAGTGCCCTCGAAAATTTCTGCAATTTCTTCAGCAGCCAGCTCTCTCAGTCTATCGTGCGTGAATAGACACACTTTCTCTCTCTCTCTCTCTCTCTCTCTCTCACACTCTCACTGTTTGAGTTACACACAGTCTCTGTCACGTTCACCTCCCAACACATACTTGTATTGTACTTCTTGCATTGCACTAGGGATGTTAAATATCAGTTAATTGAATAGTCGATTAACCTCATGAATTCTTATCGGTTACTTGACTATTCTATAGTCCCTGGGGGTGGGTCTGGCAGGCAGTGTGCTCCGGCCCCACTCTAAAGGAGCCTCCAGCAACTCTG